GAGATCTTCTGCAAATGAGAAGGGGACCAGACACGGGAGGGAAGAGGGGGGAGGGGGAGGGACCAAAGAAGAATCTGGGTGCTGTGTGCGCCTGCAAACTCCCCGCTGCGTGAGGGCAGCATACACCGACGTACATGCTAACAGAAACACAAGTCCAGGCCCACTGCGGCGTCTCCAGTGAGCGCACCCGGCAGTGCCCACATGAGGACGTGAGGATGGGATGGCCACCCGCGTGGCTTTCAGACTGGGCCTATGGGTCAGGGACCTGTGGCCGCAAATCCGAATGGCCCTGGAGGCCAGCGAGGCTGCTGTCCTGGAGCGGGGCCGGCGGGGGATGCATGCAGGCAGCGCCTGAGCCTGGCGCGTCCTGGCCACTCCAGCCTGAGGGTGGGCCGGAAGCAGGCCACTTCCTGGGTTTCCTCCCTTGCTGACCGCGCAAGTGATTCAAGTCTCCTTCCTCAGGGATGATGAGCAGACTCTCTCCGGACGGTGAGTGTGGGTTTTACCCTTGGTCCTGCCCTTTCCTTCCTCCTGTCTCCGCAGTGACCAGGCTTCCTGAGCCTGCAGGGCTTCTGGCTGCAGTCCAGGTAGGTGCTGCGGCGTTTGCTGCATTCGCGGCAGTGGCCGTGTGCCTGCTACTGCACAGCAGCACAGCTAGAGCGCTACCTAAGGATCGTTCCTCTGTACGTTTCTCACGTTTTAAAAGTAGTGGGCTGGGGAGAAAGCTCAGCGGTCTCAGTGAGTTCAGTCCCTGGCACACACACACACACACACACACACACACACACACACACACATATACATCAAGGAAAGGGTTGAGGGACCATAAAATAAAAGCAGAAGCTACCAGGTGTGGTGATAGACACCTATAATCCCAGAACTCTGCGAGGCTGAGGCAGGAGGTTGCAAATTTGAGTCTGGTCTGGGAAATTTAGCAACTAGTGAGATCCCATCTTAAAATTAAAAATCAAAAAGGGCTGGAGATGTCGCTCAATGTGAAGGCCCTGGATTTAATCTCTAGTACTGGAAGGAAGGAAGGAAGGAAGGAAGGAAGGAAAGAAAGAAAGAAAGAAAGAAAGAAAGAAAGAAAGAAAGAAAGAGGGACAGGACGTCCACTTGCACCCGCCCAGGTCTGCGGATGGAGGCAGGGCCCCCACAGGCTCTTGTGTTCTCTCAGCAGATACCGTGCGGTTGGATACACAGCCTCAGCGCTGGAGCTAAAGCATTTGCGCTTCGGTTGTGCTAATTACCTCAGCTCCTTTGCCACATTCCTGCATGATGCAGTCCTGCTCCTGTAAATGAGCGAGTTTCTGGCTCAGGGACAGTTAGTTTCCTCCCAGCATAGTCTTTGTTTGGGTTTTGCTTCCCTGTCTTTCCATGCCGGTGCAGACAGGGCCGCAGTGAACAATCTGGTAATCATCGCTTTTCTCACATGTGCGCATGCATTCGTGACACATTCCTAAAAGGAAAGAGGCTCAGCCAAGGGAGAGCTGCATTTTAAATTTGGACAGAGGTAGAGGGGATTTCGCCCCCAGCCACAGCCCATGAGAGTGCTTGTCTTACCTCCGTGCAGCGGCGAAGGACATTATTAACTGTTAAATTCTCGGTTCTGCAGCGGCTGCAAACCCACGGCCGTCCATGCTGCCGCAGGGGCTGGTGCGGTAGTTCTCCTGCGTCTACGAACTGCAGGGGCTCGCTGTCCGGGCTCGCAGAGTGGACTCAGTTTTCTCTTAAATAAACTGTAGAGAGGCTTTCTCTTTTTCTCTCATGGGAGTAGGTAGGGGGCAAACATCCACTGACCTCCGGAGCCGACTACTGCAAAATCAGATACGATGCAAAAGTGTTGCTAAAACACACTGTGGTGCGCAGTGTGGGTGGCTCCGGGCCCTGATCCCAGCCTCCGAGAGGCTGAGGCAGGAGGGTGGCAAGTTTGATCCCACTGGTGATTTAATGAGACCCTGTATCAGAATAAAAGTGTATTTAAGGGAGGCATCAGAGCAAAGCAGCAGCTGGGGGCAAATGCGCAGCCGCGTGCAGGAGCCCTTGCAGCCGCTTCCTCTGCCCCTTCGGCGCCCTCCCGACCGGCCGGCCTCTTTGCCCAGGGCTTTTCTGGTTTGGGCCCTGACCCCTCGCCGCTGGGTCCCGCCACGCCAGCAGGGCCCGGCCCTCAGGGGAGCTGCAGCACCCTGCCGCGGCAGGAAGCCCTGCCTGGGGAGACGCATTTGGTCTCGGGGAACTGTTTGGCGACGCCCCGCGGCTGGCGGTGGATTGCAGCGGGGTCCTCCCGGGCCGCCGGCTGCTCGCTCCGTGCCCACCGGCCCGCTAATGCCGCTCCTCCTGCAGGGCTCAGACGCGGCCTCGCCTCCTCCGCGGTGTCCTCCCTGGTGCCCCCGCAAGGTCAGCGCCGCCCTCCTGGTCTTCCCGTTCTTCTCGGCGAGGCCTCTGTCGCCTGCGCCCTGAGCCGGGGACGCTGCGTCCCCAGAGGCCCTTGCCCTCTCCCGTGTGCGTCGACGCCCGGGTGACTCCGGACGACGCGGCTGCCCGGGAGCGGTGTGGCCCGGCGGGCTGCCTGCTTGCGCAGCGTCTCATCCCGGTCCCTCCCGTGGGGCGGGGATGTCCCCTGTGCGCATGCGGTCCTCAGTCTCACACCTGTTTTTCTCTCTGATCTGCTGCTCTGTGGGATCCTGGCCGCCTGCACTCGCGACTCCAGACAGGAACGAAGAAGAGAGTAAGTCCTGGGTAGGCTGTCGCCCCCATTAGCCCCTCAGCCACCCTGGGCGTCAGAAGCCCTTTCAGACCTCTGGGTCAGTGTGACAGGCAGCCCTGAATGCGGCAGTCGCTGTTCTGAGGTGTAGGTATTCTTCCCCGGCTGACCTCTCCCAGGTCATGAAGCAGCCGGTATGGAACTCCCGAAAGGGTCCGCCAGCTCTTGCAGCCACTGCAGGGCCCGGGACATCTGCGCTCCATCCCTTGTTCCGTATCACTGGCTCCAGTGAGAAGGACAGAGGTGCACCCCAACCTTTTCTTGGAGGAGAAGTGGTAGGCAGAGGCAGAACAGGCCGGGAGAGCACCTGCTTCAGCAGGGGCAGCTGGGGCAGCACCGGCCCCTGTCGGAGGCCTGGGTCCTACAGAGGCATCTGAACACAGTGGGTGCCCCAAGTGCTTGTTGCAGGGGAGCGTGTGGCCCACGGCCACCGAGTCATGCTGTATCTGTAAGGAGCTGTTTGGAGCAGCTGCCCCCTGCTTCTGCTAAAATCTTACACTCCTTGGCCCCTTGGGCCCACACAGGCTGCTGGTTTTGGACCTGAAACTTTTCTGAGAGATTTCTGGACCTGTGGCCCTGGAGTGACAAGGCTGGAGGTCCAGGGCTGCTCTCAACAGGTGTCCCTGGTGCGGGTGATGCTGGCCCAGGGTGCACAGGAAGTGCCGCGGTGCAGGGTGCTGGGGCCCCTGCAGCAGCCCGGCCTGGTGTCTTAGGGTTTCGGCTTCATAGCCATGTAGCTCTGCGGTCATGCCCGGGCCCACCTGGCCTGTGAAGCCCACGGCGTGTGGCGTCTGACTGGGCTGTAGCCGCTGACCCTGGGGCCACAGAGAGGCCTCTCAGAGGCTGTAGGGTGAGGTCCCAAGAGCCCTGCTCCCGGGAGGGAGGAGGCTGTGGGCACTGGAGCCCAGCACTCGGCTCCCTTACGCAGTCCTGGTTCCTGGGCCAGGGAGATAGCTCAGCAGCTTAAGCACCTGCCTGGCAAGCATAAGGTCCTGAGTTTAACCCCTGGTACCAAAGGAAAAAATAGAAAGAAAAAAAAAAAATCCTGCCAAGTTCTGGTTCCTGGATGTCCCACCTGGCCCAGGTGGCCCCAAGCTGGGCTCAGCAGGCAGGTACCTGGGGCTGACCATGAGTTATAGGGGTGCAGGGATGGAGAGAGGCTCCCGTTGGCGCTGAGGGGATGCGTCCCTTCCCGCCCTCCCATCCTCTGGTCTTGGGTCTGCACCACTGTTGCACCCACGTGTGGTGTGGTGGGACCTGGAGCCCTCTCCACCACCTGCCTGTGTTTTGGGTTGTTTTAAATACACACTGCGGCGCCATCGCATTGTAGAGAGCTGATCTGGGCAACAGGTCCTCCTTGGGCAGCTGCAGGCTGAAGGGCTTCAGGACAAACGGAGCCAGTGCAAAGCCGACGAGGAGCTGCCCCCAGTGCTTCAGCCCCTGGGGTACTGCTGGTCCCCCAGAGCCATGAGGACGTGGAACTGGCTGCTTCACACAGGCTCCACCCGAGCTCTGCTGTTTGAATCCGGGGCTGGTTGTGTTTTCTTGTTTGAAAGGCTTGGCACCAGATATGTCAGATTTCAGACTTTTTGGATTTTGGAAGACTTTACAAGTTCAGCATTTCTCGCCCGCAGACCCCAGAATCCGAGGTGCCCCAGAATGCCAAGCGGTGTCCTGTTGGCGCTGAGGGGCCCAGAGTGGGGGCACGTTGTTTTGGGTTCCAGATGTTGAAGCTGAGCTGCAGGGGTCCGCAGGGAAGAGTGTGGGCTCAGGGCAGCAGGCAGGCTTTGGACCTGGGGGGGCGTGGGAGGGGAGGACAGCTCCTCTGGGCCTGGGCTCCATCTCAGGCCACAGGACACAATAGGAGCAGAGGGCTGGGTGTTGCAGCAGGCGTTGATGCTAACAGCTCGCTCTCTCTCTCTCTCTCTCTCTCTCTCTCTCTCTCTCTCTCTCTCATCCATCCCCTTTGGCTGGCGGCTGCTGCTCAGTGAAAAGTGAGTTGTTTCCCCGCCCTTGGGGACAGAAAGCAGGGTGCACAGAGCCCTGGGATGTGAGCCTTGTGCATCAGGTGCCCAGACCAGAGTCCAGGAAAGAGCTAGAGGGCCATGTGCTGGGGGAACCTGTGTGGGTGACAGACGGCCCTGCCTGGAAAGGACCAGGAGCTGAGCATACCCCCAGTCCTGTGTAGGGTTGTTCAAGACAGGATCTCAGTATGTGGTTCAGGCTTCCTCCTGCCTCAGCCTCCCCAGAGCTGGGGCACCAGGTGGGTGCCACCACACCCAGGGCAGGGAGAGCTCCCCAGGACCTTTCTAACCCCTGGAGCACAGCCCTACAGGGAAGTGGGGTCCATGTGGGGGCTGGGGTGTGGTTCAGTGGTGAGCGCTGGCCCTGGGCCCCAGGACTGTAAGAAACCATAGAAAGAAGGCATCGTGGGGTTGAGGGAGCCCCTCACAGCCCCCAGGCTTGCGGACACCCAGGGGCCTCTCTGACTCTAACTCCCTTCTCTCTTGCTGTCTGGTGCTCGTGCCGCCTCTATGGGATTCTCCTCCACGCTGCCCCCGCTGCCACCCGATCCATAGTCCTGAGACGTGAGTTCACACTGTGCCTGCTCCCCTACTTATCCTGGCTGGGGGGGGTCCTCCTGGGGGTGCAGAGCAGCCAGCCCTCACCTGCCCTAGGGCGGTGGCTCCTGGGACCTCTCGGGCAGGGACACTGTGCATGGTGGTAGTGGCCTCGGCCTGCTCTCCGTAGGCGAATGGCAGCTCCTTAGGGGCAGACTTGTCCCCTCCAACACTGCAGTCAGTGCTGAGCCCAGTAGGGTCCAGGCTGCGCTCCTCAGTGGGTGGGACACTGTGTGCCCCAGGTCTCCTGGAGCTGGCTCTGCCCATCTCACCACACTGCCCTGGAGGCTGCTGGGGTCAGCAGAGGCCCCTGCCTTTCTCTGGCCTCGCATCCAGCGGCACCACGCCAAGCACAGCCACACCGCCCTGCTGCCTCCATGGGGCGGGAGCCCTGCAGTCGCTCCTGGAGCCTCCGGGGGCCCAGGACCCTGCCTCTGGCCACTGCCCTGCTGGCTGCCTCAGCAGGGTGCCTCCTGCCCTTTCCTGCCGCTGCTGGGAAGCGAGGGCCCAGGTTGAGCCCCACGCCTGGGGATCATCACTGCAGGCAGGAGCAGCAAGGAGCATGTGGAGGGCCTCCCCTGCCCCTCACCCGCCAGGCACTCGTGTGCTGTGTCCCTCCTGCTCTGGCAGAGGCTGCAGGTGGCTCATTCAGCCCAGATTATGTATGGGTGGGCCTCTGCACCCCCAGAGCTCCCCTCCTGCAGGCCGAGCTCTGGGCAGACCTGAGATCCAGGGTCAAAAACTTAAACTGGAAACTCGGACCAGGAACCCGTGTGGTCCTCGGCCTGTGTGCTGGTCTCACCGGTGGCGCCTAGAGGGGGCTTGTCTTGGTCACCCAGCAGCAGGGAGCAGAGTAGTCTGAACCCAGGCAACCCAGTCTCACACTGACCTTGTGCTAGTGGTTTTTTTGCTTTTAATTTGTATATTTAGTACAGGCTCTACAGGGTCACAGTGCACAGATTGGCTTGGTACTGATCCCCGTTTTCAGCTTCCCAAGCGCTGGGATTACAGGCATGTGCCACCACGCCCAGTCTCAATCGCAGTCTCAGGGTGCCCCATGGGCGGGACTGGCACAGCACGCGGGGATTCAATCCCCGGCCCCTGCATCTGCCTAAGCAGGTGCTTTAATCCGCTGAGCTCTGTGGCCAGCCCTTTGTGTTGGTGTTTTGATGCTCACCTGAGGCAAGGTGGGGCAGCGAAGTCCCTGCCCCTCTCTTTCACTGCAAGGATTAGTCTCTAGGGTTTTGCTAGATAGTTCAGGCTGGCCTAGAGCTTATTTTATAGCCCAACCTGGTCTTGAACTTGCAATGATCCTCCTGCCTCATCCTCCCAGGTGCTGGGATTACAGGCATTAGTCACCAGAGTGGTTTGGATTAGTCTATTTACTCAGCATTTTTAAAAATGTGTTTGGTACAGGGTCTCACTATACAGCTCAGACTCCTAGCGATCCTCCTGCTTTGAGCCTTCCCAGCACTGGGATTGCAGGCATGCGCCACCACGCCGGGATTTGGTCCTGTGCTGGCACAGCACGTGGCGCTAAAGAGTGAACCCCAGTCTCTGCTCTTGCCTAAGCAGGCCCTTAGATTAGTCTTTAAAAAAAAAAAAAAAAAAAGTTTTTTTAAATTTAAAAAACATTGATCAGCCCGTATTTGCAGACACAGAGCTTGCATTCCTCATGGGGAGTTGGTCCCTGTACACATCTCAGTTCTGTTTATGCCCCCAAAATTCAGCTCAGAGAGGGAAGTGTCACTAGTCCCGGGCACCAGCTTGCCTGACCCTGCTCGGCGTTCTCCAGCAGCGCAGAACCGAGTCACCCCGGACGCCATGTGCAGCTGCGGGCTGGGTGTCTCGAGGGTCCTCCCACCCCATGTGCTGAGCAGGGGGCGGAGGTCAGGGCGTCAGGCCTCGGGCTCCAGGTCCCTGCCTGCTCATGTGGCCTCACCTCACTTCCGCTTGCCTCAAGGCTCAGGGTGGAAAGCAGGTTTCTTGGGCTCGCAGGCCAGACACTTTCCGTGCTAGTGCTGGGCACTGTGTGCTGCAGGGGCTTACACGGCCTGGTGGGCGGAAGGTGCTTTGCAGGAGCGGGAGGCGGGCGTGGCCTTGGGAGCGGGGGAGGCGGGCGTGGCCTTGGGAGTGGGAGGCGGGCGTGGCCTTGGGAGCGGGGGGGAGGTGGGCGTGGCCTTGGGAGTGGGAGGTGGGCGTGGCCTTGGGAGTGGGAGGTGGGCGTGGCCTTGGGAGCGGGAGGCGGGCGTGGCCTTGGGAG